GTATAGATTTCCAAACTGGTTTCAGGTTGGCTGGCTGGATTTGACATTTTCATTCGTGCTGTATGACTACCTGTCGTTGAAACGATGCTTCATGGCCAGGTAAGTGAAGGAGGTAACCTTTGTCAAATCTCTCCCGTTGATGGTAATTGGTGCTGGTTGTTTTTGCTGTTGTTGGTTGGTTATCTTCATCACCTCCATCTACTCTATGTTCACCTGCAGTCCTGTCTTCGTTGCCAGACTCTTCAGCCAGTTTGGTGGTTTTCGCTTGCAAGTCTTCGAGTTTGTGTGATATTAGACATATATTGTGGTGAGAGCTGTCTACTAGCCAAATTGGTAGACAGTAATTTACGTCAATGTTTACGTTCCCAAGATTTGTCGTGAGAAAATGTGAACAAAGATTGATTCAAAACCGACCACAGCAGACTTTGCGTAGGCGGATGCAGTTAACATATAGATGATTTGACATTCAAGAAACAGTCACAAAGAGATGAAAGATTAATTTTAAGTGAGAAACAACCAATCGGAAGACTGTGTTTGTTCGCTTAACTATCCATAATAATGTACATGAAAATATATAAATATGCGTTGATTTCCTTAATAAATGATCTGTTGCCTGACTCTTGCCTTCTGTCGTTACAATATCATCCGCAAAATTTAGATCTCCGAGAGTCTTCTTATCAGTCTAATGTATTCCTGTTTTCTCTCTCTCCCAACGCACAGTATGACACATAATCCAGGCCACCATTCAGACTATACCAGTTACACTTTTACATGATAGAGAGACAACAGGAATTTATTTGAATGAGCGTAAGTTCGAAAGAAATTCATGCAGCCCCATTGCCTTGTTGTAGCTGTCTATATAACGATTACAAATTATTTTCACTCCCATCTTTGTAACTATCATCTGACATTGTTATTTTACTATGACTACCATTCTAGCTAATCCAGTTAACCTATTTTTACAGTTAAGTGAATGAATTCGCTGAAAAGAGATTCATCACTGAACTGTTTGCTCTTATTAACCTATTTGTATTTTAATATAGAAAAAATCCCCACTTAGACATTTAGAAAACAGAAAGATTGAGCGAAGAAATATTTACTTTTCGATTAGATCCTCATCTCTGGCTCTACTCTGCTGTGTATTGTAATAAAAATGTTATATATTAGAGTAGAGCCAGAGATGAGGGTCTAATTGAAAAGTAAATATTTCTTCGCTCAATCTTTCTGTTTTCTATTTGTATTTTGTTATTCTTACGTAATTCATGCATCTATTCTTCTTAGTCATTTTTATTTTATAAATTAACTGATCTTGAATTCCGTAATTATTCCCCCTCCCCCTAATACTCCAAAGCTGATAATCCTCATTGACTCAAATCACCACATAATCGGTATAACTTCGATGTAAAACTATACATGTGAGTGTACAGTAGTTGATGAGGGACTATCTGAAAAGAAATATCTTTTTTCATTCAATTTTCAGTTGTTGTTTTTTTTAAATTCGTGTATGAGAATTTTTAAATTTCTAAAATATAAACAAATGATGATAGAAAATCGCCTTTTCTTTACTGTAATTCTTAAGAAGTATTCAAAATGAATAGATTGTCACTAGTGTAGTTGTTTCCTTAGCTAAAACTGATATAAGTTCTATTGCGTTATATCTTCTGATATAATGAATAGTAGGTTTGATAATGAAAGGCAATACACAACTCAACCGTAGACCAGATACTGATTATTAATCAAATCAGCCTCCTTAGCCCATACGAATGAAAGCAGAAAACTGATTGCTCCCACCAGTGGCTTAATGGTCTACGAGCTCACCTTGTAACCAGAATGTCCGGAGTTCAAGCCTATGTGGTGGGTGCGAACTGATGAAGAGTCCCAAACTAGGACGAAACAGCTGTCCAGTACTCCCAGGTTTTCCAGTAGTCCCCTAACTGATGTCAGCTCATGATGATTATGTCTGTTTTATCCAGCTTTATCTAACTGATTTAGCCGCTTCAAAACTAATAGACTGTTCAACACTTTACGTTACTAGGGTGGTGATTTCTTTAGGTAAGGCTGATATCAGTTCTATGGCACGCTTGTTCTATATGAATCTATTTTACAATGCATTATACATATCTAAATTTAGGTACCTGTTGATTGGCAAAAACAAATCCCACAAAGCCAGATTACATATAACTAAAACAGAATTACTCGGTAAAATCAACAAGGTAAATAAGTTCACAAGAGAACAGGTCACACAACGATTAATTCAGATAAATAAATTTAGTTATGCAAAAATATTCAGTATTCATAAATGTAAGAATAAAAATTCAACAAATATAATTCAATGTTAATTTTCCAGTGTTGGTTTGCAGGGATTTGATTAGTTATAGTTCTGGCCACGAACTTATATTAGCTAGAGAACCACTGGAAAACCAGGGAGTACTGGACAGCTAGTTCATCCTAGTTTGGGATTCTTCTATGTTAGTTCATTTATTCAATGCAACTTAGTAGTACAGTGGATTATTAATGATTGGTCACCGGGGAGTAACTATGTTTGTGTTCTTTAATCCATAATGCTGACTGAATTCCGTCAGTCAATTTCGAAATCTACTCAACAGGCTAAGACATTTGCCATTACTGGGAATCGTTAACTTCTACGTTGAAGGTAAAACCTGCTGATGAGGGCCAATAATTATGACAGCCAGACCTGGGGTTTCTTAGCAATCGCCTCCAACCAGTATTATTTATTGGATGCCAAGTACAACACTGTATCGCTGTACCACATAGTCAAGTAAACCAACCAAGATGGAATTATGGAATATTCAACCACAGAATATCATATAGCTAAAACCAATAGTCAACCCGGTAACAAATATCAGTGCGAATAATAGGGAAATCATTACAGTCCTCATTATTTAATATATTTATTCCCCTTAATGAATTTGAACAAAACAACAACTAGTTTTAGCAGAATAAAATGGTACCATCTTTTACTTCGTTGACTTCTCGTCAGATGCTTACAGGGCAAAGACATTATTAAATGTATCTACAAAAACAATTTAACACACTTGCACAGAGTTCATTTTAAACAGAAATCAATCGATCAATATACACATACACTAATAATATATACATATATATATGCAATATTAAATACAATTCCGAGCATTAATAATCATACAAAATGAAAACTTTTCAGCATCTCGCATTTGGATGAAAAATATCCAGTTACCAGGGCAAAGAAAGACTAATAACCGCTTCTTTCTGAACGTATAAGTCAGGTTTCAGGCACTTGATGGAAATGGCTTCAGCAAACTTAAGGAGAATTAAGCTCTTTTGCTTATGATAATTTTGAACAACTTTTCGACGTCCACCTCATGACCCGTGTCGAGGAGATGGCTGGCGATGGCACTGTTTAAAGCATTTGTTCCCTTTAGATGTAAGCTTTTCGGTACATGTTCATAAAATTGTAGATATGCCCTTCTTTCTGATCTTCCAATGTAACTGCTACCGCAGATACATGTAAATTTGTATATACAGTTGGAGTTAACATGAGAAGGATATCTATCGATTTTTGATTGCATCAAAGAGCAAGTTGTTCGATAGACGGGAACGAGCTTAGCTGCAGTATAGGCTATGGCTAGTGATGTGCTCAGCCTTCTGTTGATCATCGCTGAAATGTTTTCACCCTTATAATCAAGCTGAAAGTAGATTGGCTTTTTTCTAACTGTGATTTGTTTTACATTTGTGACTTCAGATCTTCCATACTTGTTGATGAACCTTTGAGGGCTACGGGTTCAAATTTCACTCCATCATGACAAATGGGTAGTATCGTCAATCTTCATATAATCAGTTCTACTTATACCATGGTATTGAACGCACAGAAGTCTGTGAAGAGTTCTGAGTTCTCGCTCATTTCATCGTGAACCTTTCAACCCATGATAAATTATCTTCCGGTATTGTTTGCTCCCAGTTTAGCATTCACATCGCCCACTAGGAATTTTATGTCGCCACTAAGGATTTCATCCGCGTATTAAGTGAACCACAAGAGGAAAATCAGCGAAGTCTTTGGATTGAAGACAGGAATAAGATGTGGCAGCCTACTATCACCTACAATGATATTCTTAATGCTGGTGGACTGGATTATGAAACAGACCATGGAGAGTGAAAAGACGGGAATACTTTGGGTCGACGTGAAAACTCTAGAAAACCTGCACTTTGTAGACGATTCTTTCCTAATATCATATGAATTCAAAGACCTAAGAGTGAAAACTAACAAACTGGCGGAAGACAAGACTTCAAGTGGACATAGAGAAGACGGAGGTGATGAAGATAAACAACAAACAACTACAAAAAGCACCAATCACTATCAATGGAAGAAATTTGAAAGAGGTCACTTCGTTCGCTTATCCAAGCAGCATCGTTTCAACTATACGCGACAGATGACAAAACAAGAATGAGAAAGCCAAGGCAAACCTCCATTACTCACTCTGAAATCAGTTTGGAAATCTGCTGCTCTGAGCATACAGAACGAAATTCGAATTCTTAACACCAATGTTAAATCAATCAGTTCATCTATATGGGTCAGAAACTTGGTGCGTCACAAGAAACATTCCTAACAGATTATGGCAGACTTTAATCAACAGCTGCCTTCACTGGTTCCATACTGAAGATCAGACGACCAGAAAGAATTAGCAACAAGGAACACTGGTAACGAACCAAACAAGAACCTCTTGTTCAACAAGTACAGGAAGAAAATAGAGATGGATCAGAAACATGTTGAGGAGACCGTTGGGTGACATAATCCACTCTCGAATGAAATCCAAATTCGAAACAACGAGTTGGGCAGCTTTCCGAGACGGATATGCGAGAAATCGTCTTAGAGAAAGATGAAAGCTTATGGGTAATAGTGAGGTCAGCTGAAGAGGACTACTAAGAACAGGATGAAGTGGAGGTGTTCTGTTGAAGCCCATGTTCCACTCGGAAGGCAAAGGAATGAAAAAAGACATTAATATATACTGAATTTATCTTATTCTCAAAATGACAGCAAAAATACAGGATACACAACAAAACGTTTTTTCTCGTTATTAATGTTATTATTATCACTATCATCATCGTCATTATTACATTAGAAGGTGATGATGACACCAGTCAGATCAATATATATATATATATATATATACGTTCATTCTGTGAATACACAGATAATAGGGAGATTTTTTAAAAACAGCTGTGTTCAAAATCTGAAAAGAAAGGCAATTAAAAAACAAATATTCATTGTATACTTTGGAGTGACATGCATTATTTCCCCCATAACTTAGTACTGTGTTGTTCTCTCTTCGTTTTATGTGATTACACGCAGAGTAGAAGGAAAACACACACACACACGCAACTTACAAGAGTGAGGGGAAAAAAGAAGGGATAATACCATTAAGAATTATCGCATCAAAAAAGGAATACACATTGTCTTCATAAAAAAATAATTTTCTACTAATAAAATACAATACAAATACACACACATACAGTACATCTTTATTACATCATGTACACTGAAACATCAAAAATATAAGATCTGTAATATATGAACAGTTTTCTTCAGCAGTTAACACGAAGATTAATAAACATATGTATATTTGAAAAAAGCGCGCATCGATTTTTTAAAAAAGATTAATCCTTTTTTACTTCAAAAAAAAAAACAAATTGAACTTGAAAATGTATATTTCAAACAAAAAACATATGTATATAGAATATGTGAATTTAACCGCTTAACACTGCTGATGACGGTGGTGCAACCAATGATGTCGGTGATGCTTTCGGTGTTCCATCACAGCAGACAGCAAACATTCTTACTGGATACAAAGATAATGGGAAATTGGTTTGTGCTTTTTCACCGATTAACTTTAAACCAGCATCTTTAAACACTTTAATATATGCAGAACGTGGTCGTGTATAACTACTGTCAATTTCATCAAAATTTACTTCAGTCGAATTATTCACTGCATTTTCATCATGTCCACCAGTTGATGTAACATTCTCTTTAATGACAATTACTCCACCGGGTGATAGACCATGTGCACAACGTTTTAAAAATGCTAATAAGGCTAAATCGGATAAATGTCCCAGCACCCATTGAATCCAGATTAAATCATATCGTCCAGTTGGTGGTGTGAATTCCTAAGATTAAAAAATAATAATTCGGAAATACAACCTGACGTTAAAGAAAATGGACGATTTCACTAAATAAAGTGAACAAATCCCTAATATACTTTCTACACTAAGATTACTAGTGGAATTCAACCTAAATGACTTTAGCGACTAAAAGATTGACTTATTACCAGAGAACAGTTTTATCGACTTCGATTATGCGGATGATAATGTCCTGCTAGGTCAGTTTTATGAACAGCTCCAGTGTTTCGCTTGCGACTCGTTCCTGTCAAATGTAACATGAAGTTGGACTACACCAACTCCTAGGTTAAAGATAGGGAATAAAATAATAAAGCATGTGAACCATTACACTTATCTGAAAAGTTGCATCAGCCCTAATGGAATAATTGATCACGACGAAATCTCAATATACATACTAAAGACTCTTATCGCATTTGTCAACTTTGCGTCACATCTACAGCAGGCAAGATATGCAGTTATAAATCAGTTCACTTTGCACTTCTCGGCGCTTGAGACATGACCATTGTAAGTGGAAGATGCAAACAGAATAGCTTTCTTTGACCACAAATGTCTGCGTTCTATTTCGTATGCCAAGTGGTATAATATGGTGAGTAATAGTGTGGTTAAGCATACAGTGCTAGGTAATAAAAGTCAATCGATGAGGTTATGAAGCTACATCACCTAGGTTAGTGAGAACATATACTGTATATGCCAAGTCACCACCTTCCTCAAAGAGTAAGGTTAGGTGACATAGGATTCAACTAGAAAACAATGAAAGCTGACCGAATGAAAACCTGAGATCAATCCGTTAAGTCTATGCTTGTTGGTTTGAACCACGTTGGGAGGGATAGACTGCCTTGGTTGGAATCTTCCAGACGATAGAAAAAACAAACAATGGATTGAGACTGTTGGTAATAATATGGCTCAAAATCGTTTTCAATGGTGCAGATGCAATCACTCTGCAATCTTCCAGATCCTCACGCTTAATTATGTAATTGTTCTTTCCCTCGTACGTTTCTGCTCGTTATAGTCCAGTTGAATTTCTTTATTCTCTCTTTTGTCTACCATTTGTGTGCTACATGGAGTAAGGCAAATTGAACCGGCTGCACTTCTGTGCAAAGTTTTATGTTGAAATCAGTCAACCAGTCAGTCAGTTACACTAAGATAAACATTAAGATACACATTTCATTCAGTTATTAGAATAATCATAAAATTCAAGGGATGAAGTAATTGTCAACAGTCAATCAGACAGTTAATCCCCAATGTATCTGTTAATGAGATTCACTTGCTATGTAAGACCTAAGCACATTTATCTAGCTGTCTAATTATCAAAAGGGGAAGGCAGTTACAAACTAGTAACAAAGTGGCTTAAAATCCAGAATAACACCATTAGCGGTTTTCGACACCACCACCACCACCACCAGTGGTAGATGTCAGGAAAACTTAGTTCATACATTCAGGAGCTAAGGACAATTCAAGGTATGTTTTACTTTGACTGCTTGATACGAAATGACAGGGAAATGCCAGTGCTGTTGATAAAACTAACTTAGACAATTCAAAAAGCTATCTAAACTAATCAACAACTAATACTGCAAACTTAGTGAAAAGCAGTCGGCTAACCATGGGATAAATGAACCCAAATATGTATTTCTGAATGATTAGAAAAATAGCTAACTTACTTGTAAACCCATGCAAAATCGTTCACCAACCCTTGGAAAATCTGTTGGACCAATGTATTCTTCTGTTTGATCAAGAAATGACTGTGTCAATTCAACCATATCAACAATAGAGAAACGAGGTAGTAATAACTGTTTAGTAACACGTCCAATACCTGCACCACAATCCAGTGCATAAGCAGTTGTACTTGGTCCAAATTCATCAAGAAATGCTTCCGAATCGGTTATATCTGGTACATTCAATGAAGTATAACCAGATAACATGCCATCAACAGTTGGTGAAACATGACTCCAATAATCTTTAGCTTTAGTATAAAATGAAACTGGTGTTTCAACTGTAGTTTGAGTGATAGACATATTACGTCGTAATGTTTGCAGTCCTACTGGTGAACTAATAACAGTTTTTGAGCGTCCACCATCGTGTCTGCTTGCAATCGGTAGGTTAGAGTTTTGTGTGCCACCAGCAGGGGGTGCTTTTGGTACTCGAGCAGATGCCTTGTATGGTTGAGAGAGAGAAAAAACGTTAAATGAGGCTGACCACACACATTACATATGATAAGAGCAAAAATATAAAAAAAAGGTACACTGAATAAATATACATAACCTATAGATAACAACCAGGAAAATCCCACCCATTTATTTTTCCCCCTTCCTTCCTTTTAGAGTAGCGTATACAGTTACAACCTTTAACGTTTCAAAAGAAGCGGTGTTGTTTTGACGAAATGTGGCTGTCGCACGCCTCAAGCCCAACGTTTCCTCACTAACCAGCTCATCGCTGACTAAGTAAGTTTTAGGAGTGAGTCGACTGGGAATCAAACCCAGACCTCCCGCGTAGTTTGCAAGCATTTTACCAATGAACCACCGAAGCACTATGCATTTAAGCAATTCTTTTGCTTTACTAACTCTGATTTGTTTCAAAAAGATATCAACCCCATGACTGAAACGACCAAGCTCAAGACAACCAAGAAACAGATAACTCTCACATTAGCATGAGTACTTTATAAAACTATATCCAAAAGTTATGTCAGACATCAAAATCTGACTCATATTCGCCGTAATAATTACTTAAATGCATCAGTTTCAAAGACATATAAACTTTGACCTATGAAATTATAATAACAGCACACAATACAGATATACTCAAATCAATAACACTTTCTAGTTAAACTTTAACTAACGGATTTAAGGGATTCCATAGTCTCATATTCGAATCCCGTTCAGAGGGTCGAGTTGTTACTGCTGTAGTTTCTAGAACTCAGTCACTCGAAACGGATTCACCAGACTGCAAGCCATGCTCAACGTGAAAAGGCTAGTGATACTACCCAATAGTTAAACTGGCTCAAGTAAGTGGACCGGTATTCGAACCAGGGTGTTGAGATAAACGTCGAGAACTGTTAATAATCTCTGTCTAATTATGCATCTAACGTATTGCATAGTGCATTGAATAAACTCATTTGAACTCACAAAACAAAAAGCAAAATCAAGGTAGATGCAACACCACAGAATCTCACACAATCATCACCGGCCTACACTATTGAGTATAGAAATACAACAACTATATACGAACAAAATTTTGATCCGATTTTCAACTAAAGAAGTAACCAGGTGCCCACCAAGTCAAGCAAGAGGACAGTTACTCGCCTGTGACATTGGCTGCCGGCTGCGCTGAATATATATCACGAATTGGCAGAAGCTGGAATTCATGAACCACTGGGTCGGGTCTCAGTGGCTTAATGTTCTACGAGCTCACGTCGTAGCCAGTAGGTCCTGAAATCGAACCCCGGTGGGTGCGTACGGATGAAGTGTCCCAAACTAGGGTGAAACCGCTGTCCAGTACACCCTGGTTTTCCAATGGTTCTCTAAATGATGTCAGTTCGTGATCAATCCTGTAACCAATGAAATTCCTGAAAACCAACACTTGATAAATTAATGGAGTATATTCTTAACCTACACAGTGAATATATACATGTCAACACAATAAAATTTAAAATAGAACACATGTTGATTACATTTGCATACACATCTGTTTGTCACTACCACATACAGTCACACGCGCACACACACACATACACATATATGTATTCACACAGATGGAAAACCAAGAGAGAACAATATCACTTCTGTACTCTAGTGAGATTTACTTGTTTATTTATTTTCTGATACATAAAATATACACAAACAGGAAACTTTTTTACACAGAATAATATATATAATGGCATCAATGTTGGAGTGCTCTGTTTAAAACAAATAATAACCATATGAATGATAATACACATAGAATAAGATGAGGTGATTGACTGTGTTTTAGGCACGCCTTTGAGTAAACGATGGACTAGTACCTGGAAAGTCGAGGTAAAAAAAAAAACATAAAATTAAAACAAAACGAAATATTAGTTAATAATGAAGCATGACGAAACTGAATACATTTCAAGTAATTATTTGTATATTTGTACAATAATAAACTACTGAAGAGTCCAACAATGGGATAAAACAGCTGTCCAATGCACCTTGATGTTCACTGAATCTCTAAGGGAAGTCGGTTGATGACAAAATCTACATCGAGATATTGAGAGGACGAAGGTCAGTGGAGTCAGATGTTTGCAGGAATTTAATGGATTTCAAGTTTCATCGCAGCGGCTTAGTCCTAGTCTGCAACTCTTCATCAGTACGCGCACAAGTACCTAGCCGGGATTCGGGTGGTTTGAACTGAGCTGAACCGAAAGGTGTATACCATTGATGAGCCCAGCCCCAAATGAGCGAAACGACCGTCAGGTGAATAGATCATTTCGATGTGCTTAGCAAGCACTACTAATGGTTGATGTGAGTGGCACACAACTACTCATCTCAATCAATCAGTGGTATATAGTACACACTCATGACATCACCTGGTACCAAACCCAGGACCTTCAGTTTATGAAGCGAGCTCATATTAGCCATTTGGTCACTAAGACGGAATCCAATAGACCATGAATTATAACTTCTATTAATTCGCAGTTTCATAGCCATCGTTAGCCAACGTCATCGGCGAGTTTTCGCCCTCACACACCCAATCTGTTGGACTTCACTGTTCACAAGTTCTCACTAGAACTCCTAACAGTTTCTTTCTGCAATCATTTACTGAAGAGCATCAGATTAATTTTCAAGTACCAGTGTGTTAGGATAGGATCGGTTTCAAGTTTCCTTAACGCCTTCATCTTAGACGTTGTGTTATAAGTTTGCTAAAAATTCCACTTTTGAGTTAAAAGAGCCAGAAGACTGGTATTTATCATTGTTGGTTTATCCTTTCACTCATCTCAATCATGCATTTAGTCACCTTAACATTACCAAGTATATATTCCCACTACATAGATACAGACATCATCCAACATCTATCTCTCTAATACGGCAACATAGCCTGCACACAAAAGGAATAGACAATTTTAAAGACAGATTACCACAAATATAAACACATAAATAACATACCGAATGGGGAATTAGGCACATTTCCACTTGGTGGTGATACCTGTGCAAGTGAACCGAAACTTAGATTATCCGTTTTATTTGCCAACCTAAAAGAGAAAGTTAAACAATAAGGCATGTAAAGAAAAGGAAACTCAAGTGTACATTCAACTACCGAACTACCGATGGAAATGATCTAAGCAATGATATTGGTTTACTTGCGTTGGCCGTGGAGAGCACTGGAATCCAGGACGCGTGCTTCGACCTATTTCCGACTCACAGGGTGGATATATCTACTCCCCTAAGATGGATAGTGTTCCCGATAAGAATTGGACTAAGAACCGATCGCTGAAAATGCCACAGCACTATCCAAAAGCTATTCAGCTACGGGAGCTACCTCATATGCAATAAGTATGATTTGATGTTCACACATATACACACCGAGAGAAGTTAGGTAAATAGTCAAGAACTTTGGGAGTTCATGCGAAATACTAATCTAACCAAAACATATGGCTTAATAGACTATTAACTGAATATCTGATAACTGACAATACCGAAACTTTCACGGAAAACCATACAATCTCAACTAAAACCGTTAGCAAACATTACACTAAAAACACAATCTCCTTAACATTTCGGTTATTATTTCACTATCTATAACAGTCTATCACATGAAACACGTGGTCAAGACAATCGAAACAAACGGTTCTATATCTGTAAACAAGAAGTAGCTGTACATGAGACTGGAATTCACAGGTGATGTACCAGGTGGAATAATAACCGACAAGTTAAGAAAATCGATTCATGGAACTTTTAATGCCGGTAAGCAGTTGTTCATATTTCCCATACGGCCGATTATGATTATCAACTGAAAGACAAAGTACACAGGTAGGTCAGCCACGTCTTCCTGTATCTATCAAGTCAGCTGCTCCTGTGAAGCCAGTTACATTGGTCATTGCTCCAGGAGCTTTCATGCACAGAATACCTATTACCATGACTACAAAAAGGCTGTAGTAAAAGCCGTCAACAGTACTTTATCAAATTGTCGGTAAACTAACTAACGTTTTACAAGCCATTTTTATACTTTTGTGAGTAGCCTACCGTATCTACCACATGTAACACAGTCTTCAGTTGTTAAGCACATTTTCGCCAAATTTAAACAATAATGTTGCCAAGGATTATATCATGTAAATTGTTTTAACCTATGTAAAGTGAGCTTACTGACATTAATCCATTGCCTCTTCTTGTATATGTATCCTGTGTAAGTGAATAATTGTAAATATGCTTACTCCATGTATATATTATTTATCATATTGATGATGCCTGTAAACTGGCGTTCCTCATGTACACAAAATGAGAATACATTATTACTATTATTACTATTATTAATATTATTATTATAGATCATGTGGTCCAAACAGGCCATAAAGCCCACACGGAAGAATGTTTGACATATATATTATCACTTACAATTGCTTTTGGAACTGTAATCTATTGTTCTTATTGAATCAATATTATTTAAAACATTAGTATTATTAAATAACAATATTCCTTAAATCATTACGGATATATAACTGTAGAAGCTAATGAAGAGAGAGTTATGGAAAAGGATATTCATTGATCACTAAACTCAGTCTTTTAAAATGTATAATAGACATTATGAAATCAATAAAAAACATTCATTTTTCTAATTTTACTTGTACATAATATAATTGTTTTTCACTTTGTTTATTCATGTGAAACAATGCATATGAAGAGTGAATTTCACTTATGATCAAAAAATGATATTGTTTACAAACAAAAGAAATAAATAACCAGAAATACTAATCAACATCTACAACTTCTATGTATATGCAGTTGACAGTGAACCACACCTATGGAGTAAGGATGTGATACTTCTATACGTCTGTTCAAATCTGGGTGGGACAAAATGTTTTGGTACTTATGACACTGTACAGCTAGAAGCCAACCCATTTAAGTCAATGAGCTACAATTTCACTTTAAAATGACGTCGAAGTGTATAATGAGTCCTCTATAGATTATTTTTAAGACAATAAT